TTTTTTTGTATCAGGGATTGAACTCGGGGCCTTGGGCTTGGGAAGCAGGCGTGGCACCACTGAGCTAAATCCCCAGCCCTGCAGGTAATATCTTTGTCACTGTAGTTTAACCAGATCAAAATTCAGATCTGAGATTTATATTAGTGCTTTTAAATTTTCCTTTAGTAGTTTTAAGTGCATAATGAATGTTGTGTTAACCTTTTATATTGTGATGGATGACATATGTCCTATCATAACGCTCATAAAACAGTGTGCTATTCGAAATAAATACCCATGTAGCCGCCACACCTGACACTGTGGCCATCAACTCCAAGCCATCGTTTACTCCTTTGAGAGTCATCAATGCTTTCAAACTTTTAGATCACGAGCTTGCATCCTTCTGGCTGAGAACACTGCATTTTAATTTGGCCCATTTTTCATTACATAAATGAAATCACACAGTATGTATTCTTTTGTGTTTGACTTTTTCGTTCAGTGTTGTTTGCGAGATGCACCAATGGAGTAAGTAGCCATAGTCGTTTTTATATCATCATCACGGTGTGTTATTTCATAGCCTGAATAAATGTCAATTCACCCATTCAGCTCTTGTTTCCAGTTTTCTTGTTACTACAGCTGATACCCTTTGATCGTTACACAAATAAAAAGAAACAAGCTGGGCGCGGTATGCACATGTGTAATCCCAGTACTCTGGGAGGCTGAGGCAGGAAGATAGCAAGTTCAACCTTGCCTGGGCCATTTAGTGACTTAGCAAGATCCTTTCTCCAAAGAAAAAATTTACAAAGAGCTGGGGATATCACTCAGTGCAAAGGCCCTGTGCTCAATATCCAGTACTGTAAAAAGAGAAAGAAATTGTTTCAACAATATATTTTATTTAATATATCAACAGCATATTCAAAATATTAACATATAATCAGTATGTTTATGTTATTGCATGTTTACACTATATAAAATCAATGTAATATAAGCAATTTTACATTCTACTTTTGGTACTATGTATTAGGTTGCTTGGGACGCCTAACTCCTGGAACCTGAAACCATGACTCTTTGGAAAAAGGGTCTTTGCAGATGTAACTGAGTTAGAGTCCAAGATGAGGTCCACCTGGATTACTTGAGTGGGTCCTCCATGCAGCGAAGTGTTTTATAAGGGACACACAGAGAAATTGTGCTTATTTGTACAGAAATCCTGGGAAATAAAGAGACCAACTGTGTCAGGGATTCTGCTGCGGGCCTGGCAATCTGCATTAGATCCAGTCCTCCTTGTGACTGTTCACTGCACTACCTACCCTGCCTCAGCTGTCCTTCCGTCTTTGTTTGTTCCTCACTGGCTGCTGCTTCTCAGTCTCCTCTGTATCCTCCTCTTTCTAACGTGCTTTTGTTTTGAGATGAGATCTTTCTACATAGCCCAGCTGGCCTTGAGTCTGCAGTGATCCTTCTGCCTCAGCCTCCTGTGTGCTGGGATCACAGTGCTGGCCTGGCTAGGCCTCCTCTATTCCTGCCTTTCTCTAATCCCCGGAACCCAGTTGTCATTAGCTCTCTAACACTGACAAATGACCTCGAGTTAGCAGTTTAAAATAGTAAACACTTATTTCATGTGTTCCTGTGGGTCAGATGACAGGGAGCAGCAGGCTGGACGGTTCCTGCTCAGGGCTGCCTGAGGGGCAGTCAGCTGTTGGCTAGGGCTGCAGTGTCTGAAGGTGGGCCTGCCTTCCCTCTGTCTGTCACCTATCTATCTGTCTGTCTTTATGGAACTGGGGATTGAACTCAGGGCCTTTGCACTGAACTTCATCCCCAGCCCTTTCGTTTATTTTATTTTGAGACAGTCTTACTAAGTCACTACATTGCCCAGGCTGAGTTTGAACTTGCCATCCTCCTGCCTCAGCCTCCCAGAGTGCTGGGATTACAGCATGTGCCACCACGAGCGGCCTCTTCCGGGGACTGCTGGGATAGTCTCATGGGCTTGTTACCTACTTCTGCCCTTCACCCATACATCCTATTCTCGGTCCCTAAACCACGGGTCCCCTGGCCTAACCTGAGTCATTCCTTAACTCAGAAGCCCGTAATGGCTTCTCATTTCTCTCAGAAAAAACCCCAAGTTTCTCCTATGACTGTAACATCCTCCATACATGTTCCTCTCCTGCCACTTCTCTGACCCATCTGTGACCGCCCTTCCCCCGGTCACTGGGATCCGTCGTAGCAGACTCCATGCTCTTTAAAAAACCTCTCAGTTATCTTTCTGCCTCTAGGCCTTTGCTCTTGCCAACCCCTTTGCCTGGAATGTTCTTCCCAATGTTGTTTATGTGGCTCCTTCATTTTATTTTATTGAGACAAGTTCTCCCTGCATAGTTTAGGCTGGCCTTGAACTCCTGGCATCCTCCTGCCTCAGCCTCCTGAATTCTGGGATTACAGATGTGTGCTACCACATCCGGCTCCTGGTCTCTACTTTTTTTTTTTTTTCTTTTCCCGGAACCAGGGATTGAACTCAGGACCTTGCACTTGCCAGGCATTAGAAGCACCACTGAGCTACATCCTTGGTTCCCCTGCTTTTCACCTAGCAAATTATCCTTCAACTTTCAGCTCTGATATAATTGACTCACAGAACTTTTCCCATCTTATTTGTCACAGTACTAAATACATTTGTAAGTAGGTAATTATTTGTGATTAATAAAATGTTTTCCTATTGTGTGAAGCGAGAGAGAGAGAGAGAGAGAGAGAGAGAGAGAGAGAGAGAGAGAAAGAGAAAGAGACTCCTGGGGTTTGCTAAGACACTGTCAGGGGCTCAATGGTGGAAATTACTTTCATAAAGCACTAAAATGTTATTTGCCTTTCACCCCCTTTTTTTTCCTGGCAGGGCTGGGGCTAGAACCCCAGAACTCACGCACACTAGGCAAGTGCTCTATTCCCGAGCTGCATCCTCAGCCCCTTCTCTCTCATTTTCTCTTGGGTGTGTAGTGATATTTCCCAGAAGCTACATGAGAAACTTATTCCAACAGATACAGTGCAGAAACAGATATGAGAATCCAAATGTCTTTTGTTAAACCAGGCCTTAAAAAGAGATTTGCAAAAATGTAAACCAATGGCAGTCTTCTCAATACAATTTCTTTCAGAGTGGAAATTTTAATTACTTTTTTAGGGGGGGTACTGGGGATGGAACTTGGGTCCTTGCGTTTGTGAGGCAGGTGGCGGCGCCACTGAGCTAAATCCCCAGCTCTATAATTACTTTTTAATAAAAGTGTTATTTGTATTGACACATGGATGTTTGTTTTGTTTTGTTTTGTTTTTTTCATGCTTGGGGATACAACCCAGCACCATCACACTGAGCTACAACCCCTTCTTTATGTTTTATTTTAAGACAGGGTCTTGTTGAGTCACTAAAACTGTCCAGGCTGGGCTTGAATTTGTGATTCTCCTGACTAGCTTCCCAAGTGCTGGGATTACAGATGCGAGCCTTTTTGCCTGGCTATATGAGCTTTATTTTTGGGCCCAGGATTTAGCTCAGTGGCACCGCGCCTGCCTCTCAAGGGCAAGGTCATGAGTTTGATCCCTAACACTAAAAAAAGAATTTTATTTATTTATTTATGGTACCAGGAATCAGACTCAGGACCTTGTGCTTTCCAGGCAGGTGCAGTGCTGCTAAGCTACAACCTCAGCCCAGTAAGAGAATTTTAAATGACAATAATTATTTTAGAAATTTCTCGTTGTTAGATGTAATTCACATAAACATACAACCCACATATATAAGCCATGTAGATTATTGGAGTTCTTAATGTAGAAGAGTGCAAAAGAGGTTTTGAGACTAAAAAGTTTGAGATCGGTTGATATAAGTAAATCTGCTTGCAGTCCCTGATCCCCCGACTGAGTTGAACTAGGGCCTTCACACTGAGCTAACATTTCCAGCCCCTCTTGTTTGTGGATTGAACTTGGGGCCTTGCTCTTGCAAGGCAGGTGGCAGAACCACTGAGCTAAATCCCCGGCCCTCCAGCCCCTTTAATTATTTTAATTTTATTTTCAGGCAGGGTCTCCATAAATCCCTAAATTGCCTAGGCTGGGCTCAAACTTCGACCTTCCTGCCTCAGCCTCCTAGGTTGCTGAGATTCTAGGCATGTGCCACCATGCCTGGCTCTGTTAGCTTTTTATTCTTCTCTACCACCCCAGGAGATTTCTGATCTCTTTTAAGGGAAGGTCGCTGTTTGCCTTGTTGGATGGATGAGTATTTAAGCTTAGGCTACTGGTATGAAGATCTTCATGTGTGTCAAAAGTTGGACGGCTACCGTAGAAGGAATGAACAAGAAGCGGCTTCCCACTTCCACATTTCCGCCTCACTTGAGAATATCAAAGAAAGCATCAGACCAATGATTCCGGGAAGAGTGGAGAAATGGGTTGGGCGCAGAGGAACCCGAGGGAGCATACGCACCTTCCAAGTTTGGGAGCGCCTGCGTGCCGGAGACTCGTTGGGGCGGCGGAGTGCCAAAATCGTCCCGCCGGTAGGGGGCGTGCGAGGGGGAGCGGCGGCTCATGCGCAAAGAAACGGCGGGAAAGGCTGCGCGTGCGCATGAGGAACGTTGCCGGACCCAAGCGGAAGCGTGAACGTAGGAGCGCGTTGCTAGGCGTTCAGCGAGGCGTCTTCACCTTCAGTTTCACCCGTGTGACTGGCTGAAGAGAGAGGTGGAGACCTCAGGGCCAGGTGAGGGGGAGTTGGCCTGGGGAGTCCTGAAACAAGCCATTCTGGAGGCTGGGGCTCTTTAGCTCCCGCGAGGGCAGTAAGAGCCCTCCGTCTTGGCCGCCTCGCAGGACTTGTCCTCAGCGTCGCACTCTGCTGAAGCCATTGGTGTCTCTTACCCTGACGGGAGCCCACGCCAGCCGTGTCCCTGCCTGCTGGAGGTAGAAGCCGTTTCCTGCCCCCCCCCCCGAGGACCTTTGCCTTCTGGGAGGTTCTAGTTCCTGGGAAAGAGGTGAGGGGAGAGCAACCCCCAGGGGATACGGCTTTGGAGAGGAGTTGAGGGGACAGTGGTGTTCGCCACTGCCAGGGCCACCCCTAGTGAGGAGCAGTCAGCGGGGCCCGGGGGTGTCAGGTGGCCAAAACTCGGTCGTGCCACTGAGGGACCAAACTGACTGGTTTACCAGAAAACTTGTTGTAAGGATTACTCTTCTTTCTTGTACGTTTTGAAACAGGGTCTTACTATGTATTCCAGGTTGACCTCGGCCTCACTGTGTAGCCCAGGCTGGTTTTGAACTCAAAGCAATCTTCCTACCTCAGCGGCTTCTGTAAATGAAACAGTTTCCATAATTTTCTTTTTTACCTTGTTCATTATTAGTGCATAGAAGTACTACTGATTTTTGTGTGATTTTGTATCCTGCTACTTTGCCAATTTTATTAATAGCATCAAACCAGTTTTTTGTGAGCTCTTTTAGGTTTTCTATATGTAGCATTATATCAAATTTTGCTTTTTCCTTTTTAGTTTGGGTCGCTTTTATTTCTTTTTCTTGACTAATCTCTCTGGCTAGAACTTCCAAGACTGCTGAATAGAATGGTGAAAGTGGGGTCTGGGGATTTAGCTCAGTGGTTCCGCTACCTGCCTTGCAAGCGCATGGTACCGAGTTCAGGCCCCGGTACCCAGCCCCCAAAAAGGTAATTTTGAAATGGTGAAAGTGGGCATACTTGACTTGCTCTTGATCCTACAGGAGAAGCTTTCAGTCTCTCACTATTGTGGATTTTTCACATCGAGATTTTAACATGATATATTTTCCTAATATTCCTATTTTGTTGAGGTATCTTTTTATCATTAAAAGGTATTAAATTTGTGAAATGCTTTTTCTACATCATTTGAGATAATTCTGAGGTTCCCCCTTCATTCTGTGAATGTTGCATATCGTATTGACAGATTTTTTTTTAATTGTACATGTTTGCAGTGCATAATGATTACATTCCTTATGAGGAGTTGCTATATGTACATAACATATTTTCATTCCTTTTTTAATCCCCTTTTCCCCTCCCTCCATCTTCCATCTCTTGGTCACCTTTCCTTTTATACTTTTTTTTGGGGGGGTACTGGGGATCGAACTCAGGACCTTGTGCTTGTGAGGCAGGTGGTAGAACCACTGAGCTAAATCCCCAGTCCTTTTATAAAAGACCTCTCTCCCTATTTCTCATTATCTTTTACCAGGCTAGGGATGTTCTCAGCTGCACTGCACTTGCCTTGTAAGTGCAAGGTCCTGAGTTTGATCCCTGGTACCAAAAAAAAAAGGCTAATATCTTTTATTTTACTCTTTATTTATATTTTAGGCTTGTCATATAAGAAATGTTTAAGTTTATGTGTCTAATTTATTTCAGTTAACATTATGGTCTCAAGGTGAATCCGTTTTCCTACAAATGACTCAAACTTATCCTTTTTTTGTTGTTTTTTTGCTTTTCACAACTTTATTTCAATGTAACTATGCTTACAGAAATACACTCGTATTTGTTAAAAGAATGCAATTTAACATCCTACACAATTTCAACCAAAAAGTTGGTACATGGTTTAAGATTTTAAAAAGGATTTGCAGTCTGGTTTATTTTTTTTCTAGTGCAAATGTATAAAAGACCCATCAAATGCTGCTAAAGAAGGCAGCAAAAACCTTGAGAAATATACCTTTGGTTTGCCTCCGAAGAGTAACAAGCATTGCACTGTAAAGTTTATAACAACAAAACATTGTTGTAATTTACAACACCAGTTTACAAAGTTCAGTAACTTTGTGCGGGGAGCCTAAGTACACACATGGAACTGTAAAAGCTATCTGTTTTACTAATAATGCATGTAGATTGTAAATCTGCACAGACCAAGATTCAGATGATTTCTTAAATATGAATTAGCACTATCAGCTCACTTCATCTGCTGACAGAGACTTCAGCACATTTAGTCTCTTAAAACTTATCCATCTTTATGGCGAGGTAGTACTCCATTTTATGTAAGTGCCACATTTTCTTTATCCATAGTATATAGTCTTTCAAGATTTAGCTATTATGAGTTGTGCTGCTATAAACATGGGTATGCATGTTCATTGTAATGCAATATCTTTAACTCTTTTAGTGATATACTTAAAAGGGGAATGACCAGATCAAATGGAATTTCTATTTTTAGTTTTTTTTTTTTTGAGGAATCTCCGTATTGATTTCTATAGTGGTTGTACCAGTTTATATTCCCACCAACAATGTAGAATGGTTCCTTTTTCCCCTGCAGCCTTGCCAACATTTGTTATAATTTTATTTTTTGATGATAGCCATTCTTTCTGGAGTAAGATGAATCTCAATGTTGTTTTAATTTGCAATTATCTAGTGGCTAGCAATGTTGAACATTTTTTCATGTACATATTTATTGGCCATTTGTACTTCTGAGAACTGTCTGTTCATTTTGATTGCACTTGTCTTGATTGGGCCCTTTATTCTGTGGTCTTACTGTGTAGTTCAGTTCAGGCTGTCCTCAAACTTGCAGCAGTCCTTCTGCCTCAGCTTCCCAAGTACTGAGATTACAGGTGTGCACCTCCCATGCCCAGCTATTGTTAAGCATTTTTATTAAGCCTGTTATCTGTTTTATTAGTTTTTAAAATCTCCTCTATTATCCTTTGAAATAATTTGGTTGTGTGGCTTTTGATTTCCTCTCTGTTGATGCCCCAGCTTTGGGGAAGTTGGGAATTTTTAGAGGCATTTTGTTGCATTGTCTTCTCATCTTTCTACTATTTCTGTTGAGATTTTCAGGTGCTTATAGTGAAAAGAATTTGTTGCTAGTATGAACAAATCTTTGGTTAGTGTCTGCTTTTCAGTGATGCACTCTGGGTGTAGCTGACTGTAGGCCTTTCCTTTTGTCCTAAAATCTGACCACTTCTGTTAATTTGGGAATGGATGATGCAGTGTATTTAGTCCATGGTATTATTAATGACATAAAGGCCATTTGGAAATTAGGATATGGAGGAAAAAACCTACTAATAGCAACAACTATGCCACCCTGACAATAGCAACTAAATCAGTAACGACAATAATGTCAGAGACAAACTGGATATTGGAAAACCATAAGAACCAATAGTATACCAATCTTAACTATATAAAAGAGATAAACACAAAGACATACCAAATATTGACATACAATAAATATCTACTAAATGTGACAATTATACCTCCACTAACAATAGGAGAAAATTAAACAGTCACAGATATTGTTAACTATCTGAAGATTAATAAAACTTAATAGTTACATTGATAGACATAGAGGAAGTGGGCAATGGGAGAATCAAAAAAGACTTTGAAAAATTAAGCAATTAAAGATAAGAAGGAGAGAAAAGTGAGATAAAGGATCCCATTACAGAGTAAAAAGCTAACTGAAGAAAACAGGAAAAAGAAAGATAAATGGAGGAAAAAGAAAGAAAAGTGTAGAAAAAAAGAAAGATAAGAGGGGAAAATAGAGAAAAAAAGAAGAAGAAAAGAGGATTCCCCAAACATCGGGGTGGGGGGAAACGTGAAGAAGAAAGCCTTTGTAATTTTGATTTTTTTTTTCAGACAAGGTCTTACTATGTAGTTCAGACTACCTTGGACCCACTATGTAGCCCAGGCTACCCTTGAGTTCACAGTAATTCTCTTGCCTAAACCTCCTGAGTCCTGGGATTATAGCTATGCACCACTCTGCCTGGCCTTTACTCTGCCTGGCCTTCTCTGTATTTTTTAATGAGTGATTTTGTTCCAGAATCCATTTTGGAATCCAGCAAATCATGGTTTTCTTTACCTAGCTTTATAGCTTGTGGTCCATCCGTCGTCACCGCCCCCCTCCCCCATCGTACTGGGGATCGAACTTAGAAACTTGTGCTTGCCACGTAGATGGGGCACCACTGAGCTACATCCCTGGCTTCTTCCTTGTGGTTTTGCGAGGAACCCCACTATTCCAGATGCCTCTCTTTTCATTCACCTTAGGCTGTGGCAGCTATCTAAACAGACACATCCTTGCTTTCATTGGTAGATGGGGAATTCTGATCTGTGCTGGATGTAGGAAGCAAGGCAAGGGTTCAAGCATACCATTATACTTAATGCCAAGCAGACCCAACTGCTTCTGAAAGGCACACACCAGGCGTGACTTCTCATCATGGAGGTTGAGGCCCTGTGTCCTTTCCTGGTCTGAGCTTAAACTTCTCAGGAGATCTATGTCTAAACTGCACCTTCTCTGTGACTGTCTCCTATTGCTGTCTCATCTAGTCACAATAGGAGGGTGACACTGGGAACCATAGAGTAAAGTTGTCTTTTAGTTGTTCTGAGGCTCATTCTTGAATAATTGAACCCTTCTTGAAATGGCATCTGATTAAATACTCTGATAATATGCTGGGTACAGCATTAGAATCCTCTAACTGTAGCCTGCCATTCAGAATAAGTCATTGGGAGCTTATTTGGAGGTTCTATCAGGGGGAGCACAGCTACTTGTATATCCTTGGCTGAGGAAACAGTCCTCCTTTATCGGGGTGGTCATCTTCTTCAACCACAACTTTGGGAGGGACACACCTGGAGCAATGAGAGCAAAAGGGGTTCACTTACCTAGCCAGCCAGATCAGCCAAATCAACCCTTACAATCATTGGGGTGACAGATGTTGCACTCAGATCACCCTCACCTCACACCCAGGAGTCCCTTTTGGAGTAAAACTCCATTATGTTTTTGCAGTTTACAATAGCTG